ATATCTTGGAGGTTCAGAAAAGGCCTTCTAGAATAGATAAAGTCTTGGTGAGAACTGGAAATGAACAAGACAGAGACACTGAGGAAGAACATATGGGCAGAGAGGAAAATACATGAAGGAAAAAGAATGGAATAGCATGAAGTTTGTCAGGACACTGCAAACAGTGTGTCATTATTCAAGCATATAACATGACACATTTACAAAAGTGGAAATGGTAGGACAGAGAACAGAAAAGACATTGACAGCCCAGTGCCAAAGAACAGAAAAGAGTAGAGAGACTTGAAATTTATTTAAAAGGTAAAAACAGTATGGTCCAATGATGAGTGAGTTCAGAGATGAGGAAGGAAGCCTCAGCTGTGAGGACTCCCAGGTGTCTCGGGGAGGAGTTAGAGCAGATTTAGGCAGGGAGTGGGAGGCAGATGAGGACTGAGTTTAGGCATGTTGAACCTGAGATTCTGTGAAATATTAAAACAGATCTATGTGTTAGAAAGGTAGAAAACTGAGTGTGTAACAGAAACACCAGGCCTAGAGATGTGGAATCATGTGGAATTATTAGTACTCTTTTAAGCATAGTTACACTCAATCACATAATGGAAAAATAAAAAATATGACTACAAATATATGGTTAGGATTGTTAAATTCACTGCTGCATTTGTGCATAAAAACTGGTAGGAGAGAAAGTGACTAAAGCAAAGCACTAAATCATCAACAACTAAAAAATATTGCATAGTAGGCAACTGAAAACATGCTATGTCATAAAGTTTGACTCTAGTCTGAATTCTACCCCATGTTTGCAAAAACAAATTTCATTTTATGTTATTGTAGTTTTCAATTTTACATGCTTTACTTCTGCCTCAAAACTTAAATTATGGGGGTCATTTTCTACTTCCAGGTAAATGTCAAATTCAGTGCTACTAAGTAGTGCAGGTACAGTGCTCATGAAGTATTTAAAAAGATTCAAAGATACCAATGAAAGAAGAATATTCCTCTCTTACTTGCAGAAAACTTATAGCCCTAAAGTTACAGATTAGGTTATTAAATACTTGCTTAAAAAAAAGTGTCAAGACCATCACTAGGTCTTTAAGAACCTATGGATTGCTAGGGGTATTAAATATTTCTAATAAAATATAAACAAATATTGAAAAATGTTAAAGTATTTATGAAAGAGCTATGTTATGAAACTATATCTCTAAATACATAGGCTCATAATCCATAATCTATAATTCCAAAACTTAAACACTCTGAAAACTGACATTTCATTTGTGAGTATGTTGCAAACTTGATTGGTGGCAAAACCAGACCTGTATTAACATGAGACCACTTATATAGTCTTTATGTTTTCCATGCAGTAGGAATATTCATAGAATTCTCTTCAGAAATATGAACATATATAATTATAGGGTGCTGCACAGAATCTGGCTGCAGGAATGTTCTATAATAACAGATTACACACATACAGAAAATCGAGAAAATTCTGAACTCTAAAACACAGTGTTTGGAAGATGCTGTGCACCAGTGTAATTAAAATTTTAAAATTTATATGTATTATAATCTATATTTTCAATGTAACTGAATGCAAGAATGAAAATGTTTCATTTCTGTACTTTTAAGAAGAAATTTACCTACACAATATAATTATGTATGAAAACATTTCTAGTTTTCTCCTTTTCCCCCCAATATCTTATTCTAGTATTTTATTTTTACAACATCCTTATAAATTACTCACCCATTTTCTTACGAATAGAAAAAAAACTCAAATTATTCTTAGAATCACTTTGATAGTGTTAGGATCCCAAATTGACAGCATCAGACTTGAATAAAATATAAAAAGATATCTGTAGGCAGGATACATGTAAAGTCCTACACTTAGGAAAAGAGAGTCAACTTCCAAGAAGAGTGTGGAGAATATGGGGAACACACAATCATTATGTAATTCAATTATAAACTTCAGATGACTGTTGTTAATACATAATAAAAGTGTGTTGAACTTGCCCCCAACAAAATTATGATCCTGGGTTTCTTAATGAAACACTCTGTCTAAAAAGAGAAATGATTGCCCTATTCTGTGCCTGTCACAGAAGGTAATGAGTAGTGGGATTGGTTCCACTTTAACAACAGCATTGACCAACTCAGATAATCTTAGAGGAGAGTAAGCATGACAGTATTCATTCTATGAATATTCTTATGAAAAACAAAGACTGAAATGTCTCACTTAAAAAATATAATCTTGGTGAAGATGTGATAGTTTTCTTCTGAAATGAATCAAAACATTCTTTGTGATTAAACAAATCAGTGTACCAATAGGCTAGAGTTTTACTATTGCATTATTGCATCTCAACGCAAGACAAACAATGAAAATGAAAAGAACTGGGAGAGGAGTAATCTGTATAGAGTTACGGAATTACCTAACAGGGATGTGACAGAGCATTCTAGGTAATCCTTTCAGAATATCTGAGAGTCACAAATATCTCAACATCACACTCACACTGCAAGTCAATAGTACAGCTGGGTTTAGAATTTTATCCACTTTGAGTATGTATTTTCAATACTTATGAAAAGATATTTCCTAGAAGATGTAACTTCATGGAGAGAGGTCAACTGTTCAACTTTTGCTATACTGTCTTTCAAGCAGAGGGCCAATCAAACTTGTATTTAAAAGAAAAATATAGTTTATTGGGAAGTGATTATTAAAAATCTCACTCATATTCTATTCTTTTGCTCATACCCAAAATAAATATAGTTATGCTATTCTTAAATAAGAGAATTGATTTTCATTATTAACTCTGTGTATAAATTAGCTAAAAATCCTTAAAATGTTCTATTTTTGTATAAAATAAAATACTTGACAAAAATATATTAAAAAGATCACTGTTATTTTGTATAATAATATTACTACATGCAACATTACTATTACTATTTAAGTTTATGAGAATAAAACTAAACTTTTGCCTTTTCTCCTATTTCCAAAATATTTAAACAAAAGAAACTGAATGAAATTTTTTTTTCAGAAGAAAGGGTAATACATCAATAAGTTCAAGAATTTTAAGCAGGTGTTAGGCATTTTTAAAGAAAGACAAATAAAAAATATTGGCCAGCACACTTTCAAAAGTACAATCATTTCCAAAGACAGACCACATAACTGAAAATTTAAAACACGTATTTCCAAATGTCGTGATAGTATTTAAAAAGTAAGAAAAAACTACTTAGTCCCCCATTCTGATGATTAAAGGCTGAACAACAGGTAGTTTTCTACCTCCAGCAAAAAACAGTTAAGTTTTCAAGAGAAAGACCAGATAGGAACTCACACTTCGCACCACCCACCACCAAAATACCACAGTTTTGTTTGAGGCAAGGTTTCATGTGAACTAGTTATCTATTCTTAAATTTTTCTTACCAAAATTTGCATATTCTATATGCTAAGGGGAAAAGCAGTTGCAAGAATTGGAATTAAACAAAGCTTATTTAGGTCTTATCTCATTTTCAATTGCAATAGGAAGGACAGATGCTCCCAGGAGGCATACCTGTGGCAGGGCTGAATTGAGCTGTCTCTGGAGCGAATCTCTGTCATAGATGACATCCTGCAGTCTTTGCTGGGCAAGTGAGAGGCTTTCTTGGGTCTCTCGAAGGGTGTCTAGAAGACGATCCCTTTCATCTAGCATATTCACCATCAGTTGCTCAAAATGGGAGTCTGAGTCCGAGCCACTGCTTTGGGACCCCCTTTGGCTCATTGGGGTGTCCTCATTAATCGTGGGCATCACTTCACACATCATTGCTTAAAGAAAGTAAAGGGGAGGGAAGTCTTAGTAAAGAAAAGGTTTCCAATATTGCCACCTGACCCCCAACTCACCAGACTCTTTGTAGTTCATCAGCCTAATTGTCTCTCCTCTACCCACTGCCCCAACTCCAACCATGCTAAAAAATTTGACCTCAATGAAATATGGTTCACTGACTTCCTCCAAATAGTATGCTTTCTCTTTTTATGACAACATACAGATCTCCTGCCTACAAAATATATCTTGATTTCCTCTAGTTCTCAAACTTTTTTTTTCATGATTTATCCAATCTAATTCAATTTATAGTAACATGTTACTACCCTTATTACACCTTTCTTCCCCTGCACCTTTCAAATACCTTATAACTAATACCTCCATCTTACCCTTATTTGTTATTATATTGAACAGCAAGCAGAGTTTGGCATTTAACAGGTAGGAAGTAAATGATGTTTGTATTACTTAAATAATTGAATGAATTAATGTTCATTCTTTCATTTAGAAAATCCACAAATAATTATTAATTTTATAAAATAATCAGCTTTTACTTTTTAATTTTATCAGCAAGTTATTTACTACTAACTTAAAGCTACTAGACTTTACGACTTCCATTTTATTATTTTTATATGCTTTCTTCCTGAATTCCTACAGTAGTCTATGCAGAGAGGTAAGTGATACTGACTGACTTAGACGTAAGCATTATGAAATAGGCTCAGATACATAAATTTGTTTAGGGTATTGTCCTACTAATTACACTTAATATTCCTTTGTTTCCTGGGTGCTGTATTGTCTGGTTTCCATCCAAACAATATAAACTAACACTCTTTCAAATATTCCATAAAACAGATGCCATAAATTGCATTAGCTAATGTAGTAACTTCACATCCTAGCTGCTAATCAGAAGCAACCAGTCATAAAATAAATGAACTGTTCAGAATATTTTTAAATTGTTTATTTATTTAAAATAGACAACACAGACATAAAGGTGTAACAGTGACTTATTGTGTGGCATTTTGAAAATCAGAAATTATCTCATTTTCTCTCTTCAATCTTATGTTAAAAAAAAATCAAACCCATCTCAATTTCAGTTGTTGTACTGAGTCCAGCAGCTATTAATTAGAGGGCTTGCTTTTGCAGAAGTCTGTTGTGGAGAAAGGCTGGTTTGGCAGGGTTGTTGATCCTGAAGAATTCTTTGGTTTTATAATGCAAGGTCAATTCATTTTTCTTTCTGCATATTTCTGTCCTTGGGGAAAATATTTCTCGTGATATTTTCAAATAAAATGCCAAGACTTAACAGCTCAATAGTTAATTACTTTTTTCTGATTCTTCATATAAATTGGGTTATTGAGGAGAAAAATTCAATTATCTGTAAATTATTTGGTCAGGGCCAACTGAAAACTAGGAGAAACTTTTGAAAAGGCAAAGAAAGGTATGTTGTGACTGGTAGTCTATACAAAAAATAATAATAATAATAATGTGGAGGTAAATTATAGGACAATTGAAGATAATGCTTTGAATTATCAAAGCATCATTCAAAACACTGGGCTACCCAAAGGCAAGAACTTGACTTGTTCAATTTCTTATTCCCCCTAAAGTAAAGCGCAGAGCAGATATATAGGATGCATTTAAACACACACACACTCACATTCATACATTTGCTATTAATGCTAACCACTTAATGAATGAAAATACACTTTTTGTATCTTTTTCATTTTGAATTTCATTCAAATGATATATCGCAAAGAAGGGGAAAAAAAGAGACTATTTTCTAACTGCTACAAATTTTCTTTGCATTAATTAAAAAAGAACTAGAAACAAAAAAAATATTCCAACACATTTGAATATTTAAAGCAATTAGTTCACATGCCATGCATGAAATCCACACACTGAACAGCTGTGTCATTCTGAGAAATCATGATCAGGAGCCAATGTGTTTCTTCTTGACATTTAAAGTTAAAACAAAATACTGAGGGAGGAAATGGTAGCACTGTGACAGTCTGTGCCAAAACACTTATAAGGTTTAAACTTAAGATCACTTAAACATTCTTAAAACTATATTTTAAATCATATCCTCCCTGAAAGAAAGCTATCAGCCCATCTCTACTCTGAATTACTTACAACAACTTTAAATTCCAAGGAAAAATATAACTGCACTGATTACCTAAGCTACAGTTTTCTTCTGAATATACTACCCTAATTCTAACAAACGTTTGTCATCACCGTGGGACATTAGACATTTCCAAACTTTAGCCTCTTAGATCAGTATAAAAGCTGGTCTTTGATTTAGTTAGTTGAAAGATGCTGTGATGAGAAGCAGCTAAGGGATTTAGAAGGTCTACTAAATCTACACCAGAAGAACTTGATTCAATTCTACTCCTAAGGCATGTGAACCAGGGCAAGTCACTTCACATCTCTAAACTTCAATTTTCTCTTCTGTAAAGAGGAATAATAATCCAGGCATTTTTTTTAAAACAAGCCTATTGTAAGCTTCCAATAGGATACCTGACTGAGAACACAAAGTAAAATTATAAACAGCTATTACAAATTCAAGTATGTATCATAAAATTATCAACATTCATCTCTGCAGAAAGTCTATTTTACCTTTATGATTCATGCTGCTTCCATGCCTAAACGTTTAATTCCAGCGGGTACTATAAACTTCTAAAATTCAATTGAAAAAAATCAAACTATGCAAAAGTTACTTAGGAAATAAGATGAATATATGCTTCATTTTCCTCACAGTCAACTCAAATGAGTAAATCTAAAATCTTTTCGCCAAAATTAAAAGGAAAGAAATCTGTCTGTGAAAAATAAGGCCACTTTAAAGAGCTAACTTAGTTTCTTGCTAAAGTACTGAGATTCCGTCTAATATAAATTACAAAATAGTTGTATATTTCTTAAAATATAGTATAACTTTTTTCTTAAGTGCACATTTTGGGTATTAAAAGCAATTAATAATCTGTATTCAATGTAAGAGTTAAACACCCTCTTATAGAATGGATGACATCTGAAGCAACTTGCATAGTCCAGAAGGCTGTAGTCATTCAATCTCAAGTCTAGTTCATTCTCGTATACTACTTTTAACTTTAGAATCATTTTCAATATTAAAAACTGCATAGATCACATGATTCTTGAAAAACAAGAAAAGGCATACATTTACAATTTGCTTTGATAATTTCCTTTTCCTCATCCTCTCCCCAAAGCCAATTGATTTGAGTTACACTCCTCTAGATGTTAATGCACTGTTTATTAAATTACTGAAGGTTCAAGGTCTAGTTAAAGCAATTGTTTATTTTATTGTGAAAAGAAAAAAAATAATAAACTTAGTTGGTTTAATTATCTCAGTGCTTAAATTGAGCTTCAAGAATTTTATACCAGGAAAACCAACTCCTTTATTCTTAACACATAACCTTGACTGTCTTCTAAATCTCTCAGATTTCAAAATAAAAGTTTTGAATGTCCCCTGAAGTCATTACCCAAGGGCTTTCAAGATCCAATATGTTTCTTAGCAATATGTGCTGTTCAAACAGTACCTATTCAGATATGACAGTGTAATAAAAGGCTTTTTTTCTGTCAATGAATCACTTTATTCAAACAAATCATTAGGATTTGGATCCTGCTAGAGACAAAGATGCAGTTATTCTCTGTAGTTAGTTTCTTCCGCAAAGATTTAGTGTTAAGAATTGACCTATCTCCACCTCAGTTAACCCACAAGGAGTAATTCGGTGAAAGAAATTCTAGCCATTGTCTGATTACATTACATGAATATTCCTCCTCCTATTTAACTCTTTGAGGTCCCCTGTCCTCAGGAAGTATTATTATCACCTCTAATGGAAGCATTTTGCACTTTCTTTACCCCAGTGCATTTACAGATGGCCGAAGAGCCAGCTCACCCCACAGGGCTGGACAGTTCTCTCTCAGCCACACCCCCCCACCACCACCCTGAAGAAGTTGACTTCATAATTTCCACACCAAAATTCTTCATCCTGCCCAGTAGGAGAGAACCAAGTGGGGAGAAGGTAGAGAAATAGGAGAAGGGAGAGGATGAGGGTGGAAAGCAAAAGGTACAAACAGTAATTGACAAGGAGGGAATTTGCATCTCATCTTCCCTGGGGGCGGGGTGGGGCCGGGGGAAGGGGGAGGGGGTAGGAAAAAATAAATCGGATGGGAAACCGTGTAACTCAAATACAGTTTCTGTACCTAATGTCTGTAATTTCGGATTCTGCTTCTTCAATTGATCAATGACAACCGCAGTCTCCGGCTTGACGAGAGGGGAGGCTCACACCCGGCACTCCTGGACCACTTCCCTAGCAACGGGAGGAGAAAGGCAGCTTAGACACTCGCTTGCCCGGGCGTCCTCCCGGAACGTGCCCCGGCTGGGTGGCGTGGCAGAAACTCGGCATCTTCCCGCGGCCCCGTCAGCAGCCAAAAGGAGAAGCGTCCATCGGAAAAATGGCATATTACAAATTTTGCTTTGGGAAGCAGAGCTCGGTTCAGACCATTGTCAAAGGGAGGAGAGGGGGAGGCGGCTCTTAAAGCAGCAGCGGCCCGATTGCCGGAGCAGCCGCAGCTCTCCGCGTGCAGCTGGAGACCTGGGGCGGGGAGCTGGGAAGTGGGGACTGGATTTGACTTGTAGAAACTTAACCAAGCGGCGCTGCTCCCCCTCCGCGTCCTGGCCACCAGAGGCTGTACCCCCGAATGTGAGCTTTAGGAAAAAGCTTGAGGAGTATCTGGAAGGGAATTTCTCCAGCAGTCCTCCACCCGGAGCTCCTCCAGAGTTTATGGCTACCGCCGGGAGTTGCAAAGCGAAAGGGAAGCGAGTCCCCAGGGATGGGAGAAGCAGGACAGGTCCCCTCCTGGCCCCCTGCCTAGTTACAAGCTAGGGTGTCTCGTTTAACTTCAAAGAGGTGCTTCTTCCCCAGAAAGGCAAGCAGTCACCCCTCCCCACCCCCCTCCACCCAGTTTCTGCTCCCAGCCTCTTTGTAAGCCTCTTTGCTGGCATCAGTTGGCGGGGAGAACCAACCTGCGGGACGCCGGTGCGGATGCTATAGCATCTTCTCTCCTCACTTGCCTCGTGCTGTTGCTACTGCTGCTCCTCCTCCTCCGTCTCTCCCCCCTCCTCCTCCTCCTTGGCAGCCGCCACCTCCTCTTCCTCTGAAAGGAGGGCTTCCCCTGGAAGCTGCTGCAGTGGTTTCCACCGGCCCTTAAATAAATTCTGAAGTAATCACGTCTTTGCTCTCCTCCTCACGCACACGCGCTCGCGGATACACACGACTCCCCCAAAGCCGCTCCCGGGCTGCTGAGACTCGCGCTGGTCCCAGTGCCCCCGGCGAAGGCAGGGCTGGGGTTGGGCAGGTGTGGGAAGAGGGTACGCTCTTCCTTGCCTGGGCTTCCCACAAACAATGGTCTCTATAGGAAGGCGTGTGTTGACCCGCACTGCTGGGGACCGGAACAGGCTTGGGCATCTTCAGGCTCTCTGGCCTTCCGTGCTTGTCGTTTCTTTAAGCGGCTTCCTTCTCCCAGGACCAGGGCACGGTAGTCATGGTTGTAGAGACCTGAGCCAATCTAGGGTGTGGCAGCATCTGTCACTTCTCATTACCTCTCCAGCTCTTCTCTAGTCTTTGCTTTGGCGATGAGGATTGTGTGTTAAGTACGCTCTGCCTGAGTAAATTTTAGCCTTGAGCAAAAAGTCTGGTCCCTTAATCTTTTCCAGTTCCCCCATACCAATGCATTCCTTTACTATTCTCCTTTCTTTCTGCCTCTGCTGTCCATTCATATAAACCCATCAGAGATAGGGAAGGAAGCAGAAGACAAAACCAGTACCTACTCTAAGCAAAAAGAGAAGGTTTCAGGGAGGGAAATTAAGATATCCTAGTTATAGTGAAAAGGAAGAGAGCATGCAGGAGGGATTTAAAAGAAGGGTTCAACATTGGGTATAATTTGGAAGTTTGTACAAATACCCTTATGATTTAGTGCAACAAATCCAAAAATTATGTTTCACTTCTGTTGTAAAGCAGAGTCCAAAGCTAACTATAGAAATAATATTCAAATTCCAGCTCACTTACATTGACTACAGTTGAGGAAACAGACTGTTTCATTTTGGGGAGTAACATTTAATTCAGTTAACAACCTCAATAAAATATGAGATCAGTCTCATGCATTTACCACCCTTCTCTTCTAGACCGTTATACAGATTCTGCATCACAACATAATCCTATGAAAATTAAGTATAAGAGTATTATGAAGATTCATTAGATGTTAGCTGGAGCACTGTTTCTCAAATATAGCGTACATATAGATCACCTGCAGATCTTGTTAAAATGCAGATTCTGATTCACTAAGACTGGATTGGACCCTGAGATTCTGCACTGTAACAAACTATGCCCAGTGAAGCACACTTTGAGTAGCAAGGATCTAGACCCCCCAATCAACCTACCATTTGATGTTGGCTTAAATCTCTTAACGACAGGAAAACTCATTAAGCCATAAGGCATCCCAGTCTGTTTTCAGATAGATCTAATTTAATAATAGGTTTATCCTACTAATCATATGTGAGTACTCATAACTTTCACTCTCTGGAATTCCCTAGAAGACATTAAATGTTCTTTATACCTCAGAAACCTTCATATCTTTAAAAGACAGTTAATATTGTCTCTTTGTACAAGAATTCCTTATTAAACTAATAAGGAATTTCCTTGGTAATCAACATTTGCCAAGTAATGTTGCTAGTATTTACAAGAAAAGTCTTGATTTGCCTTACTCCTATTCATACAACGAATGAAAGTATTAATTCTAAATATAATGCCCACATGCAATTGATAGTAGACAGATTTAAAGACTACCTGATAGTTGATATTACAGAAAGAAACAATTTGATAATGGATGGCAGAAAGCAGTCATGGAGCAAGGAATATTTTAGTAAGAAGATATAATCTTCGTGGTCATTCTCATCTTAGATTACTATGTGCTCTCACATTCTGATGCTTAACACCACTGCAGAGTGTAAACAACATTTCCCATCAAAATTGAGGCATTTTAAGAAGGAATTTTGCAGAAAGTATTAGTTCAACCTATTCACATAAAGAAAAATCACCCCCCTACAGGGGTTCATCTAGTATAGTGGGTCTCACGTTTAGCATGCAAGAGAATCTCTGAAGTGTTTGTTACAACACAGATTTCAGGGCCCCATCCCCAGAGTTTCAGATTCCGTAGAGTTTTGGATTTTGTGGAATGGTCAAAGAATTTTCCTTTCTAGTAAGTTCCCTGGTAATAGAATACTCTGAGGTCTGGAATCTCACTTTGAGGACACTAATTAAATAAAACTGAAGAAATCTGAGAATAAAATAAGTACAGAACAAGAAAAACAGCTGATATTTTTTAGTCTAAACAAAAAAACTCTTAAACAATACAAAATCAATTATGATGAGATTATCTTCTGTTCTTAATGGTTTTTGAAAGCCAAGGATCAATGATTAAGATAAAATATGCTTATTTACTAGATATTCAACTAAGTTTAGGCAGAGGTAGTGGAAGCCACCTCTTTCATTAGTTTTAGTGCCTAACATCAATGAAAAAAATTAATCCACAGAGGCACACAATATTAATAGCTACACTTACTAATTCTTCTGCACATTTTATTTCAAATATGGTCTTTTTATCTATATACTCTTTTAAGAGGAGCATGACATACAACTATGGCTTTTTACTATGATGGCCTATCTCTTTAGGTATTCTGAATATCACATAGTATGTTAGTAATACAATGATAGTAATAGTAATAAAAAGTGCTTGTTCTATTTAAACCAAGGATGGTTTTGTATGTCAAAATAAAGTGTACTAAGACCAGGCACCAAAGAAAATGGGTAATTAAGTAT